ACCCCCCCCCCCCCCCCTCCCCAACAGTAAAATTAAGTTAAAAAACAATAAAAAAGAAATAAAAACAATAAAAAACATATCCTGGAGGTGGGGTGCATGACATCACATGACGCCACACACCTGTCGAGGGGGCACAATTTATTGTTCTCTCGGGCGCAAAAGGAGCTAGCTAGGCCTCTGCCTCCTCTCTATATAATGTAGATGAGGAGAGGAGGAGGTGTTTGTGGTCCAATGTAATTCTGATTGAACAACTGTCTGGACAGTACCATTCTTCATGGATCCGCACACACCTCTCTTGTTTATCAACCAGTTAGCTCAGCCTTTCTCAACCAGGAAGCAATGGCACCCTAGGGTTCCTTCCAGCTTACTCAGGGGTGCCTCAAATTTTTTGCTAACACCATGAAAACAAATAAGGCTAATTTAGGGAGGGTGGGATCCATTCAAAAAAGGATTGTAATTCTCCTCCATCCAGGCCCTCTGCCATGCAGTCGCAGCAGTGGCTCCTGATATGAAACAAGGGCTCTGATGTAAAGGGGGCATTCTGATGTGAAGGGGGGACTCTTATGTGAGAGAGGGGGACTCTGATGTGAAAGCAGTGGGGCTCTGATGTGAAGGAGGCTCTTGATGTAAAGGGAGACTCTGATGTGAAGGGGGCTTCTGATGTAAAGTGAGACTCTGATGTGAAAGGGTGGATGCTGATGTGAAAAGAAGGGCTCTTGTGTGAAGGAGGGGGCCTGGTTTCAACAAAGGACTCTAATGTGAAGGGGCAAACCAATTTGTGTTTGTGTTTTTGCATGGGGTCACCCCTTAAAATCCATACCGGACCCCAATCTGAGATAAGGGTCTGGTATGGATTTTGAACATGCCACGTATCATTTTTTTACATTTTAGACTGGGGTGCCTTGAGATTTTGCATAGCTTTAAATGGTACAATGAATAAAAGAAGGTTAAAGTGACATTAAACCCTCAGATTTTTTAACATAAACCAATACTGTAATGTGTGCTTTACTGTAATCCATGGTTGTTTCCCTTCTATTTGCTGCTCTTCCTTTTAAATCATTATCTCTTCTCATGTTTGGGGAGAACTTCCCTTTGCAGCTGAGTGCCTCTTCCTGTACTGCTGGCTTAGGTTGTGAACCTACACACAGACACCATGTATCCATTCCAGAGACAATTGGCAGTCTGCTGCAAAACAGAAGTTCTGCCCAGCATGAGAAGAGATACGGATTTAAAAGGAAGAGCAGCAAAGAGAAACAACCATGGATTACAGTAAGGCACACATTACAGTATTGTTTTATGTTAAAAAATCTGAGGGTTTAATGTCACTTTAAGTTAGGTGCAAAGATATACAGTACACTGCAGTGACATCACAAGTAGGAACCATCTGCCTCCTTGCAATGCATACCAACATTTATTTTTCATTTTGGAGGTGCGACTCTGCATCATTATTATTATACAGGATTTATAATTGAAGACATTACAATTACAATACAATTCAAGACAAGATGGTAAGGAGGGTCCTTGAGGGCTTACAATTATTATTATTATACAGGATTTATATAGCGCCAACAATTTGCGCAGCGCTTTACAATATACAAAACATTACAATCACAATACAAATCAAGATGGTAAGGAGGGCCCTGCCCCTGAGGGCTTACAATCTAAAAGGGAGGGGGAAGTGATACATGAGGAAGGAGCAGTGTGGGGATGAATTGTTTGAGAGCGTGATGGTTGAGTGGTTAGGTTGAGGTGGGATAGGCTTCCCTGAAGAGATGAGTCTTTAGGGAATGCCTAAAGGCAGTCAAGGTGGGCGACAGATGGACAGGTTGGGGTAAAGAATCCCAGAGGATGGGAGAGACTCTAGAGAAGTCCTGGAAACGAGCATGACAGGAGTTGACAAGGGAGCTGGAAAGCAGGAGGTCTTGGGATGAGCGGAGGGGACAGTTAGGGTGATACTTTGAGATAAGGTTTGAGATATAGCCGGGGGCGGAGTTGTGGATTGCTTTGTAAGTGATTGTTAATATTTTGAATTTTATCCTTTGGGCTATTGGAAGCCAGTATGACCCAAATGTTCACTAGACCATTAGACCATTAAACCACTAAACAGCATTTTATAACATTGATCGCTACATATTGAATTGTTTTTACTGCCCAAGTTCTGCTTTTTTATATTATAAAAGCTTGGAATTCAGTTTTAACTGTTTGTGTATCTTTATTGCTTACCAATGATATTGCAGGGACAATGATATGAATTTAAAAATGTATAACTTAGCTTTTATTTTTTATAATTTGCTGGGTTTTTGCTTTTCAGTTCCACCTTATAATATCACTCGGAATTCTTTTATCTGCCCTGTCTGCTATACGTATGAGGCCTATGACTGTAAATCTGAGGGATATATAGCATGCAGAGGCCATGAGATTGAGTGTTTTGACTTTGCAGCAACTATATTGAGACAAGGTAAGAGAATAAAATGTGGCATGAAAGCCGTTTATATTTGATAGGGATGCATCAATACCTTTCAGATACCTGTGCCGATATTTGGCATTTTCACGAGAACTACCAGGGTTGCAGCGGTTGCAGCTGGGGCCTGGCTATGGCGCTCCACCACTGTCCTGAAATCATTAGTCTGTATTGTTTTAGAAAAACTGTCACATGACAATAAACAAAAATGTATCAGCACTTGCACTTGCAAAAATGGTATGGGTGCATCCCTTTATTTATATTTATAAAAACAAAATCATACATTAAAACAGAGATGTACAAATCCCAGGAGCTCCGTGTGCTCCTTCCAAATGACAGCTGCCTCCTAACTTTTTAATTTTTTTCTAGTCTAGTCTTGGAGCTGGAACAGTATCGGTGCTTGTACTTGTACCAAGTACGGTACTTGGTATCGGTGCATCCCTAATAATTAATATGTACAAATATTAGCTAGGCTGCCCAAAAGTTTGGTTATGAAAATTAAGGAAAGCCTCTCCCCTTCCCTCCCCTCCCCTCCTTCCCTCCTTGCACACTGTCTTGTATCCCCATAGAAGTGGGTCACACATTTGTGAGCTTCCTTTAATGCTACCAGAAATCTGAGTGGTATGTTTTAATCCACAATTAAAGAGGAGTTTGTCTAGGGACAGAATAAGCGTCTCACAAATGACTCCTGCATATGAACTGCTAAGCAGTCCTGACCATTCAAAAGAAACTCATCTCCTCTGCTCCTCTGATCAATTTGTAAAAACTTTCAAAACCTCCTTTATAGGGCCACGGTTTGTAGACTGATTATCACACCTCCGCCAATTGGTTAAAAGTATGTGGACATCCATACCAACAATTGGGTTCATGTGTTTCCAGTGAACAGTACAGATAATGCTACAGAATACAAAGGCATTGTAGACAATTGCATGCCTTGTGGCAGCAGTTTGGTGAAGGTGCTTTGTTGTTCCAGTAAGACTGTGCCGCTGTGCACTTAATCTAGCTCTATAAAGACATGGTTTAATACGTTTAAAGTGGAAGAACTCAAGTGGTCTGCACAGAGCCCTGACCTCAACCCTATTGAACACCTTTGGGATGAATTGGAAAGTCTACTGAAAACCAGATCTTCTCATCCAACATCAGTACCTGACCTTACAAATGTTTGTTTGGTTGAATGGTCATGTATTCCTGCGGACACTCTCCAAAGCCTAGTGGAAAGCCTTCCTAGAAGAGTGGAGTCTGTTATAGCCACAGTGCAGGTCTAACTATATATTAGTAGTTTCCAAAAAACTGATATAGTTGTAAAGGAGATGTCTATAAACTGTTTATTACACTCTACTGTATAGAGTGTAATAAACAGAATTGGATGGCCTCCTTAGAGTATTCAAGAAATATAATTAGTATGGGTGTGCTGCTAACATTTACCCAAACATTAGTTTAAGGCAAATGCACCCTTTAAATTGACATGACCAGGCTTTATCAGGCAGCCTGGGCTCACTCTACTACTGGACTGAGAGTCACTCACATGTCACTCACATAAGTGCTGCTCAGTTCAGGACTGTCCATCACCACGCTGGAAGAAGAGAAAGAAACTGTGGCATCACAGGATCGGCCCTGCCTGGTAACTAAAGTAAGGAAAGGTGTATATATAGCGTAATTTAAAAAAAATTAGATGGGGGGGGATCTTTGGGGATGAAGAAGAGGGCAGGGGGATGAGGTGTGAGGCAGTTAGAGTTGCAGTTTAAAATATTTTGCACACACCCAAAATAAGGGCATCTAATAATTTTCCTGGTTTTGATTTTATGTTCTATGACTACAGGTTGGTCTTCGCTGAAGTACGCTATGATGGGATGCACCACTAAAGGTGGTTGTTCAATCGGACAAAGGATTATACCAGGGACCAATATAACTGATGTGACACGCTTATCATGTCGTCCAGCAATTCCAATTACTCACTGATGAAACTTCTTATTGTAACTGAAAGAAATGTTTCATCGTTATCTCTAACTCATAAAACTATGAATACCAATGAGAGAGGGGATTTAATTTGACAAACGATTTGATTGTAAATACCAAAACTTGCATCAGTGTGGCCTCTCGTTTGTTGTTAAATTTTATATAAACATAGAGCAAATTCAATAAAAACAACAAGGGATGAGCAAATATAAGAGAATTAGCTCCACCCCTGAGTTTTCCTCAGCATGAAATCAATTCCTGGCTTAATGATTGAGCTCATAGTTTTTATAAATTCCAACCATTAATATAATATTGTCTGGGCATGCACCTAGACTTTATCTGCAATATTACCTTAAAAAAAGGCCAGTTAGTTCTAGCTTGAGGCTGGTACGTGCTTACAGCTTAACTAATTGCAGAGGTTTAAAAAAAAGATTCTTTCTGTTAGAAGAAGAGACAAAATTACTGAATATTAAAAACAAGATGGAAAAAAAATAATTTAATGTACATACTTTCTTTCACACCAGGGAAATATAGAATATAGTCAGCATATGCCTATGCTAGGCAGCTATACAGCATGAAAGCTCTTATTGCACGCGATGAATTAAATGACTAATTTATTTATTTATTTATTTAAACCAAGTACATTTGTGGACCATAGTGCATTTAATTGAGAAATGTCAATAACAAGGCAATATGTTGAAAAGTAGCAGACATGATTATGAATGATGATCGTAAAATACATTGTAAAGATATAATTAGGTAAAATAGGACTAAATATATTGAACATTGTCACAAAAAAAATTAAATAAAACCAAACCAGATATACATGCATTGTGTGTAACTGAAAAGCCTTCAAGATAAACCGTAGAGCTATATGCTTCTCCTCCCTTCACAAGATGACAGTACTCTGGCCTGGTAATTGGCCACTCAAGAGCATTGTTGTAACTTAGTGACAATAAACTCAGGAGTTAAATCTAAAAAATAAATTAAAGTACCTTAACTATTAACAAATACTCACAGACAAAAAGTTTTCTTTAGCTCTTGGCGCTAATGGCTGCCAGCTGGACGATCCACTTGCTGTTGCTCACTCAAAGTTTTCAACAGTTTATCACAGTTTTTTTACACAGACTTGAGGGGCTGCTCATCCAAGGCTCTGGGGCATCCACCACGTACATAGTAAACAAAAGGCAACAGAGCGCCACCTCCGTGTGTAAAATCGTTTATTACAATAAATAAAACAAGGGATAAAAGTACTCACAAACAAACGTTTTCATCAGGCTTTAACAACAAACGAGAGGCCACACTGTCTGTTGACCCAACATGGTATCCCCCCGACTATGTAACACGGTAGTATCCGGTCACATCACCGTCCACCGACCGCAGTCAGCCAAGATTGACCAAGTAAGCAGATGCCACAGAATCCTGACAGACCTTCACCTCCACCCAGTGAATGCATAAATTGGAACAGTGCTCACCTGGGGAGATAGACCCACAGAACTAGGCCTCAAAGCGCATTTCCCTTATTAATAGCGGAGGGAAGCCCATATGACTGAAGACCAGATAAGGTACTCACAATGTCACAGGTGACAAAAGGCATAAAACAAATATCCAATGGACACCACAGTACAAATCTATGGGTGCAATTGGACTCCTGTCCGTCCGGCTCAGCTGAGAAGAGTGACGTCAAATGCTCAGCCCGGACCTGATTGGCCACTCAAGGGCTTAGCTCCCTCTTACGTCCCCTCAGGGGACAGTGCTCTAGCCTGGCAATAGGCCACTCAAGGGCCCAGCTCTCCCTTACCTAAAATCAACAAATAACCAACTTCACTCTAGTGTCCAAACTTCTAGAGTCAAGGATAAGTGGTGGGAGTTAAATACAGGTGAAACTCGAATAATTAGAATATCGTGCAAAAGTAATTGCAGTAAGTGCTGCAAAAGGGGCCCAAACCAAGTACTGAGTACATATGCATGCTGGTACTTTTCAGAGGTCCGATATTGTTCTATGTACAATCCTTGTTTTATTGATTGCATGTAATATTCTACTTTTTTGAGGTTGTGGATTTGGGGTTCTTGGGGTTTTCATGAGCTATAAGCCATAATCATCACAATTATGACAAATCACGGCTTGAACTATCTTGCTTTGCATGTAATGAGTCTATCTCATATATTAGTTTCACCTTTTAAGTTGCATTAGTGAAATAAATGAACTTTGCACGATATTCTAATTATTCAAGTTTCACCTGTATTAAAAGAGTCCGTTAGTTTGACCTGAGTAGGAGAAATTTGGAAGAGAAGCTGTACTTGGCGAATGTCCACAAACCTGTCTATACAGATTTTATTAAAATGCAGTACGTGCCTGGTGACACTGTAAAGTTTGTTTGCTAAAGGCAAATAGGCTGTTCATTTTGCAAGGAAGTTTGTGCTTTCCAAGGGAATCTTCCCTTTGCTTACTGAATAGGTAAACCGTTGTTGACTTCTATCATCCAATCATGTGCAGGCAAAATTATTGTTTTCTTGATCGTACAGTACAGGACACATTAAATCTTGGCTAATTAGTACGCTATACCACCCAATTAGTCAATATTTCCTATGTCCTGTACTGTACGCCAAGAAAAGTATTTTACAGGCAAGTAAAATATTTTTCATTTCTTTTTCCTTTTCCATAATTGGGTATTTTGTGCAAAATTAATTTTCACAACATTCAATAATTTAAGAGAAAAATACCCTTGCAAAGTACAAAACTCTGTCAAGATACCGTGCACGTGTGTCCCCACACTGCATAAAGGTATCTATACTGGAGGATCAAATGAGTGACCACACCAGACAATGCTTATGAGCATATAGTTTATTCAACACACTAAAAACAAGTAACCACAAGCAACTAATAATAGCCAACTAAAATACAAAACAACATAATAACACACAAAAGATAACAGGGCAAGTGAACCTGGGGAGCAAGGCAACAGGAAGGGAGCTACGGACCAATGGTCAGAGTACAAGGAGGCACCAGGATGCAGGAAACAGGTCACAGGAAACAGTTCACATGAAACAGGAAACAGGTCACAGGATGCAGGTAATGGCAACAATACTGTGCCAAAATCCTCACTGCAGGGAGGGATTAAATACCCTCTCAGGTAACACCAGGTTGGGATTAATTGCAGAGACACCTGCAGGTGAGCCCCGGAGCTGCAGGTCCCGGTTCCAGCGTCACAGTGGCACCTGGAGGTGCTCAAGTCCCAGACAGCCACTGACTGCCCAGAGACTCCTGCAGGTGAGCACTCCTGCAGGATCTGCTCCAGCTCCACGGTGCCACCTGGAGGTGGCCTGGTCCCTGACAAACTCACTTGCAAAGTGAACAGTCTATTTGCCTTCAGCAATCCAACTGCTGCGTGTTGAATACAAGCTGGAGTTCTGCTTTAAAAACTTGAAAGCTCCTATATTTCTGCTTGTTATACCATTTTATTAATTAAATGAAAGTTGAATAAAATGATAGACTTAAATATGAATAAAGGTTTGCAACTCACTACAGGAGAATAATATATTCAATTTCAATATGAGCAATAACTGCAAATGGTAATCATTCATACACATGCTGTGATCATCCTGTAACCAAAGGCAACCATGCTAAAGTAATATGGAACAGGTGTTGTTAAAGTGTATATTACAAATATTTTATAATATTCATATTTAGGATTTATTTTAAAATAAATTTATTTTTTTAAATGTATTTTCTGCAGATAGTGTAAAGGTAATTAAATGCAGAACTTTAATTCCGTGGCTATCAATATAAGTCTGGTAAAAAATGTAATTGTTATAAGTCCCATGTAAAACAATACCTGTTAATAAAGAGAATCTAGAGGTTTTTTTAAGGTCTATTTAATACATATATAAATGTGATTAGTTTAATGTGAATAATATGTGTTGAATGCAGGATCCTGGGGCCCCATAGCAAAATTTTAACCAGCAACCTTCCTAGTGTGAATTATATTAAGGTCAGGTAGCAGTCTGCATAGTCTCCTCCTGTACATGCAATGTCAGCCCATCTTGATTGGAAAAGTCAGTGTCAACAGCAACGTCTGCAATCCTTAATGGGACCCCCTTCCCAGTGGGCTGCTATGGCTATTGTTGGTACACCACTGATTTAACGTTTTGTTATGTCTCTGATTATACCAGATATGTTTATGGGCTACCCGAAACACTAAGTACTCAACAATGTTAAGAATGACTGAGTGCTCTGGGCCACCTTCGCCCACCTCCCGGACCTAACTATTGACCTCCAACTGTGGTGAGAGGCCTCACTTGTCAATAGTGAAGTATCAGGGATCACTGGCTTTGGAGTTGAAGTCTATATTTGCATGACTGAGTCTAAGGGTATCTGGAGCAGTCTTGAAGGCATTTCTAAATGTAAAGTGCCATTAAACTGGCCAAAGTCAATGGCCAAAAAGCTTTGGGACATCTGATGTGATGTTAAAGGATTATGGAAGATTTGTTTTGGATATATGAGGATTTAAGAGTTTAAAAGAGACGGTGTAGCTAGACATTAATTTCAACAAAAATCTTCCCATACGTTTATTTGTGCACTTAATTTGGTCATGCTAGTGCTCATCAGAAGCAATTTAAAGCCCACTGTACCCTTAAAGACCACCAAATCCCTAATTTATCTCAACTTTCCTATTAACTTCAATGCACTTTACCAAAATAGTGACATTTTGTTGTACTTAGATTTTTGACAAAATTTTAAGGAAATGAAAGTTCTCAATCTTGCTTATCCCTAATTGAGGGATAAGGCCATCAATGTGGGGGAAGCGAATTCTGAAATAAGATACTTAATGGTCAAAAAACAGGGTTCACATTAAGCATTCTTAAGTTTGTCATATTCAATTTATTAGCATGCATTTAGTAGGAACATTATTTTGGCCATCTAACGTAGAGCAGAAAAGGTGTGATGAACTAAGTGTGAAAGAGCCAATGAGAAGTCAACAAACAGTCTCATTATTTGGCAGCTAATTTGTAGACCTGGTACACAATTTAGGAGCCCCAGGCAAAAATCTGAG